GAGTATTATTCAGTGATTAAAAAGAATGAAATCTTGCAATTTGCAACACTATGGTTGGAGCTAGAGTGTATTATGCTAAGTGAAATAAGTCAGTCGCAGAAAGACAGATACCATATGACTTCACTCATATGTAGAATTTAAGAAACAAATGAGCAAAGGGGGAAAAAGGCAAACCAAGAAACAGACTCAACTATAGAGAACAAACTGTTGGTTAACAGAAGGAAGATAGGTGGGGAGATGGGTGAAATAGGTGATGGGGATTAAGGATTGCACTTGTCATCATGAGCGTTGGGTGATGTATGAAAGTGTTGAATCATATTGTACACCTGAAACTAATATTACACTGTATGTTAACCAACTGTAATTAATATAAAAAACTTGGGGCGCCTGGGTGGCTAAGTGGGTTTAAAACCTCTGCTTTTGGCTCAGATCATGATCCCAGGGTCCTGGAATCAAGCCCCGCATCGGGTCCTCTGCTCAGCAGGGAACCTGCTTCCCCCACTCTCTCTGCCTGCCTCTCTGCCTACTTGTGATCTCTGTCTGTCAAATAAATAAATAAAATCTTAAAAAAAAAAAATCTTAAGGGGTGCCTGGGTGGCTCAGTGGGTTAAAGCCTGGGCCTTTGGCTCAGGTCATGATCCCAGGGTCCTGGGATTGAGCCCCAGATCAGGCTCTCTGCTCAGGGGGGAGCCTGCTTCCCTTCCTCTCTCTCTCTCTCTCTGCCAGCACTCTGCCTACTTGTGATCTCTGTCTGTCAAATAAATAAAACAAAAATCTTTAAAATATATGTATAACTTAAAAAAAAAAAAGTCTGCATTGGGCAGATCCACCACAGATAAAGCGTGTCTCTTCCAGGTCATTCCCGTTCTTCAGGTGTTATGCATTTGCCCCTTGAATGGTGGGAGAGCAAGCTTTTGGACAAGCCATGCTGACTCTGAGGACAGGTCTGCAGGGACTCACACCTTCCTAAGTGAAGAGTTGACTTACTTCAAGGGCAGTGGGGGCCGTGGAATATTCTAGAGCGGGGGAGTAACATCATTTTGTGTCTTTCATGGAAACTAAGTTGGAAAGGGAGCGATAATGGAGAGACTGGACCCAGGGGGTTCCAGTTAGGAGGCTGTTACAATGCTGCAGACAAGAACTGTTGAGGCCCTGAATTTTCTATAAGCAGTCAGGAAAGAGGTGAGGAAACAGATGTGAGAGTAATATGGGGCAGTGAAGGAGGGAGAGTTGAGGAAAGTGCAAGCCTTCTTGTTTGGATAAATAGGTGACAGTAGTGCCATTAATCACTATGGAGAAAGGAACAGATTTGCGGTGCTGGAAGAGAGGGTGAGAAGGAGAGAGGGAGAACATCTTCTGGCAGCTGGAGTTGGTATTAGTGTGTTGTTTTATAGTAGTGGTTTTCAACTGGGGGTAATTTTGCCCCCCAGGGGACATTTAGAAACACCTGGAGACCTTTTTGGTTGTCACAGCCTGTTGTGGGGTGCTGGCCTCTAGTGGATGCAACCTGAAAATGCTGCTGAACATCCTGTGACGCACAGCCCCCCACAATGGAGAGTTATCTGGCCCCAAATGCTGATAGGATCAAATGGGGTTACAAAATCCTATTTTATATGATGGGGAGAAGACTGTGAGTCTCTCTGGCCTGCGTCTTCCTGACCCATCCCTTCCCCTCTGTTGGCGTTTCAGGTGCTGAGAAGCCTGGGGCCCTCCCCTGCCCAGTACCTTCAGGATACTTGTAGTTCTGAGTGATGTCCTCACAGCGGTTGCTGCCCACACCCTTGGTGCTAATGTTGTTGCCAACATACTTAGTGTTGGAGTTGGTCAGCTCCAGTGCGCCGTCCTCCCGACACTTCCAGACCACACACGACGCATTTACTGCAGCAAAAAGGTCTGATACTCCAGGGGTCAGGCTTAGTGTCCCCTCCTTGACTGCTTTGACAGGGGTCAGATCACAGGACCCCAGGACTGAGAGAGAAAAAGTTCAGTGAGCCAGAGGAACTGTACCCAGACCTTCTTTGAATCAGAGCTGTATAACCTCAGTCCCTATCCTATACCCTGTTTTCCCTTCCCGGAGATCAAGGTCAGAGGTGGGCACTAGGCAGAGTTTCTGGAAGGGCACTGCGGTAGTGAAATTCACAATTATTTAGTGACAGTACTTTTTGGTCATGGCTTATGGCAGGAGACCTCTCAGAAACTGGGCAGGTAGAACCTCAGAGGAATGTAGTAAAGCCGAGTTCCTTAGCCAGCTCTACTATGGATATGATAAGAATAGGTCACCTTTATTGAGTGCTTCCTTCATGCCAGGCTCTGTTACTGTTCTGCTGCTGAGGAAGGAAGAGCAGTCCTTGTATGGCTCCTGGAGATTTCTTCTCACAGGCCCCTAACCCAGCACATCCACCAACTATCTTAAAGCCTTTTACCCTTCATTGAGACTCTGCTCCCTCGCCCATTGCTCTGAGATAGGACAAGTCTCCCCATGCCCTTGGGCCTAGATGGCTAACACTTTTGTTCCCTTGAGCCTGCTTCAGGCTTCAGGTGAGCATTCTGTTGGCCACTATCACTCCTTCTACTTCTCCTGTTTTAGAAGACACAGACCCCCTTTGGACCTCCTGCTGCTCCTGTTTTTGAGGGACTTTTTGCTTGCACAGCTTTGTGTAGCCCAGGATGGTAGTGGGTCTACCCCCAGCTGTTACCTCCACCTCCATTGGAAACACATGGGTACAGAATCTGCCATCCGTCATAACCTGGGGGCAAAGCAGGCCGGGTCATCCAGCACTCCGTGGAAGTCTGGAAGATCCTGAAGGTACCAAAGGAGTAATTCAAGTGAGGAAGAAAGTGGTCCTAAAGAGGACTAGACATGGCAGAGTCATTATTGCCATGGGGATGGGAGGAGTCTGTAAAAGTGGCTGCAACACTTCCAGGGTTGGGGGAGGTGTGGGAAGGTGCATGCCATGACCAACCATCAGCATCCTGGCTACAAGAGTCTTGAGGGCCTCCTCTCAGTGCTAGGGTCACTCAGAGTGTGGGGGTGTTGTCATGAGGTTATACCATGTGGGTTTGGAACCCTTCCATATCTGGGACCTCATCCTGCTTGGGCTTCTCACCAGATTCTGCCTCCTTGGCCTTCTCCATTCTGAAGGCCCTCCTCATTGTAGTATTCATCCACCAACAAGCGTCCGCCGGTTCCCTGGGCTGAGGTGAACGTGGTAATGACACGGGCAGGGATTCCCAGGCATCGCAGCACTGTGTGGAAGGGGCCAGAGAGTCAGAGGGTGCCAGAGAGGCCTGTGTATGTATAGCTAGTGTTTTCAGTGTCTCCTCTGGGAAGGCACGATCTTAAATGCCACCTGACACTGTGGAAAGAGGAAGGACGCAGGCACCTGGCAGGTAGGACTGACACACACACGCAGGGTACATGGAGGCCGAGAGATGAGAAACTGAAAGTGTATGCAGCAGGCAGAGTCTACAGCAGGGCAAGGCTTGCACAATGTACAATAGAGCACCGGGGTTTGCTGTCCTGGAGCATGGGGAGGGAAAGTTTCAGGGCAAAAGCATGGGGAAACCCAAAAGGCAGGGCGGACACGCTGTACAGTAGCCAAGGTGACCCAGGAGTGTGGCAGGCAAACCAGCTCTGTACCTGTGCAGGCAACTGCGGCGAACACCCAGGCCTGACTGTCGTACACAGGTCGCCCTTGGCCTGTGACCCACTGCCGCAGGATGGGCACACTGCCCCGGCGCTTGCTCAGCAAGGCCCCTTCCTGGGCAGTGGCGGCCTTTGATGGGGGCAGGACACTCTTTTCCTTGAGAGCATGCAGCTGTTTATGGAAATGAGCACATGTTATGTGGGGCCCAGGACAGAACAGCCTCTGGAGGAGGGGCGGGGAGGAAGGAGGGCTTAGACCACCTGTATCAGAATCGCCTGGATTCTCCTGGGCATCACCCTACCCATTGGCTTATAATCTCTAGGAGTGGGGCCTGGGAAATTCTCCTTTCTCTCTAGCCCTCTGGAAGCCAGGGGTTCATGGACCACATTGGCAAGCAAAGTTCACATCCTAAGAAGAGCAAGAGAGCTGCCTCTCACTGGGGGCTGGTTTCACTGCTCCCTCACTTGCCTGACCCTGATTCCTTTGAGGGCATTTGCACTTGGGGCCTCAAGGCCCACTTATCCCAAGCTTCCTCCTCCTCACAGGTTAACCTTGTCCTTGTCCACCTCTTCAGAGGGGAGTCCAGAGGCATGAGCAGAAATGAGGAAATCACAATTCCTCTGAAAGGACATTTAGGGACAGTAGGAAGCACCAAACTACCTTCATGGTCTGTATATTCTTAGGAATAATTTAGAAATGAAAACAAATGACCACTTGAACAGCATACACTGGGCAAGTTAGACCCTATCCCCTCCCTCCCATGGACCTAAGCTTGCAGGTTGGGCTGATGGGAGGAGGAAAAGGAAGGAGGAGTGCTCTGAGGAAATCCGGGCCAGTTTTAGTCCTCCTGGCTTGTGTCCCAAGGGATGACACTTCCCTTTGCTTTTCTCTCCAGTGGATACTACTGTCCTCCCTCCTCACTGAGACTATCTCTGGGAACTGGCCCCCACATCCTAGGAGGAAGGTACCATTTGTGATTTGAAGATTTCCAGGGCTGTAAATGTAGGCAGCTCGAGCAGAGGGCTCCCCTCCCTCCCCAACTCACTTACCAAGGCACCCAAAATACGGGCCACATGCTCAGGGTTGCCCCACTCCTCCACCTGCTTATCCACACTCAGTAAGCGGAGGCTGAGGTTGATGACACTGCTATCAAACTGTAAGGAGCACACAGGACCATGATGAAGACCTCCAGGTTGGGTACTCTTCCCCTCACCATCACCTCAGACTTTTTCCAGACTCAGGTTCCATTCCTTCTGGCCTTGCCTTCTTGTCTCTCATGGGAGTTCTGGCTTTTCCCTCCCTCCCACCATCCCCCCTGGTCCCTGAGTCCACGCAGTCCCATCCTTTGCCTGTTCTGTTGTCTGACTTTCCCAACAGGGCGGGAGCCCTTGAGGACCAGAGCTGTATCGTTTCATTTCTGTCATTTGCCATTTCATGTGCTCCTACATCTCCTTCTAGGACTGACCCACATGGGGAGGAGACCCAAGACAGCTCTTGCTCTTGAGGAATCCACATTTAGGAGCAGAGAGGGTCATGTAGGCACTTAGACTATGGATCTCAGGAACACGGCCAGTGTTCTAGGAAAGATGTCAGCCCAGAGCAGAGGGCATAGTGAGAAGAGTCACTCTTATCTTTGGGGGCTGAGGAAAACATTCTGATGGTCTTAAAAGATGGGTAGGAATTTTCTGGGGTGATAAAGGAGGGAAGGTATATTCATATACCTTCATATTCAGTCATATTCAGTCATATTCAGCCTGTTTGATCAGGGGATGGCCAGAAGCTGGTGCATGGGGTGGCTCTTGAGGAAAGGAAAGCAGTGGCCTGGCTCTGAAGGGCCTTAGGGGTCAAGCCAGGGCATTTACTTTTTATCCTGTAGACAGTGGGGATTTAACAGAGGGCTGTGGCCTTTAGGAAGATAGCTCTGGAAGCTGTGGAGGCTGGTCTGACATGGCCCTGAGGAAAGAGAGGCACCACATGGTGGAAATGGCCAAAAGAAGCCTCACTGACACACCAGGAAACAAAGTTGTGAGAAAAGGAGGATTCTGTGTGGCGCCACCATTTTGTCCATCTGCGCCTTTCACAGAACTTCCAAGAGCACTATGCTAGGATACAGCATCTGGAGGTTCACAACCTCTGTGGTCTGTAGGAGCCACTGTGAGGAGGGCCCAGGGAAGGATTTGCCATTTTCAGTGGAAAACAAGCAGCATTTACTAGTGATGACTATATACTTGGATCTGGCTTTCCTTTACCTTATTTTGTAGTAAGAAACTAACTGCTTAAGAAATAAGGTGTTTAAATTAATCCATTAAACAGACATGGAAGACAGCATTTTGAGAGGTGCAGTCTCTTTGAAAAATGGATCAAACTCGAGTTCAACATACTCAATATGTTTGTAAATAAACTTACGGCATGAATCCTTAAAAAGAAGAAGAAAAGAAATGGCCTCATTACCTAATAGGCTTTTGGATCTGCCAGCTCTGTCTGGTCTGAACACTGAAGGTTATGGGGCAATCACTGCCCTTCCTCAGAGGTCCCCATACCTGGCCAAAGTCCCAGGGCTCTGCGTGGAAGCACTCAGCCGTACCCAGGTAGATGAGGCCGTTCTGGTTCAACACGTACTCCCTGCGTTGAGACTCCTTCTTCAGGAATACTGCATCCTCTGGTGAAAAGCAGGCAGGGATGAGGGCCTGTGGGGAGCTAGGCCTGCCCTCCACAGCTAGGCCTCTGCCCTCCCTGCCCAATCCAGGTTTGGCTGCTGGCCTTCCCTTTAGCTCTGGGTGTGATGAAGACTGGGGAGGAATTCCCCTTTCTCACTGACCCCAATGGGACCCAGAGTCTTCTCTGATGCAGAGTGGGGACAGGGGTCAGTGTCCTAGGGGTCAGCCAAGGTGGCCTACATGGTCAACCAGACAGACGGGAACAAGTCAAGCTTAAAAAGCCTACTGGTTACCAGAAGACATGGGCAGCCAGAGTGCTTTTGGCCCAAGAGAGTTTGGCAACAGCCCTGGGAACTTCCCAGTGGGCCTGTTAGATCTCACAAGTCCAAGTAAAAAAGAAAAAAAAAAAAAAGCATTTCATGTGTGCTTGGCTGGCTCAGTGGGTAAAGCATGCAACTCTTGATCTTGGAGTTATAAATTGGAGCCCCACATTGGGCATAGAGATTATTTAAAAATAAAATGTTAAAAAAACTTTTAAATGGTGTTTCAGAAAAAAAACCAAAACTATTAAACATAGGTTGACAGAAGTGAGCAGAAAGGAAGAGGAGTATACGGTAAGACAGGGTCAGAGAGAACCGAAGAGCTGGGCGAAGTAGAAGCTAGTGGAAGCCCTGGGGGCGTCCAAGTGGGTCTGAGATTCCCACAGTCTCTCCTGCCTCTCCTGCTGCCTTCCTCAAAGGGTCAGGCTGGGGTTCATGAGAAGGATGGTGGGCTTTAAGGAGGACACTCTAGGAAGCCAGGAGCGTCAGGGAGACCTGCTCTGTTTGCCAACTGTCTCTCTCTGCACGTGTTGCTGGGTGGGGTAGGGGAGGAGGGTGCTTAGGCTGGTTCCTGGGGACTAATAAGAGAAGAGGCTTTCCAGATTATCCCTCCAGGCATCTGCTGGGAGGAGGGTACGGTATGCAAAACAACAGAAGGATAGGATATTAAAAATTAGGAAGCCCTGAAAAACCTGAGGCCTAAAATCATAGAACCATGTGCCTGAGGATCCCTTGACTCCTGTCCCTCCATCTTGAGTACACGCTATGAAATCACTTCAAACTGAGGTCCTGGGCCCCAGGCTCTGCAGGGCTCTGGGAGGTACCTTACCAGAGCACAGGTTGCATCATCCTCCCCTTTCCCTCCAGGGTGTGGCCCCCTTTTATAAAGTTCTCTGCTTTTGAATAGGACTTTACTTATAGGATGTAAAATTTCCTTTTGAGTGCAGAAGGCTCCATCTCTAAGTATGCTAAAATGGGACTTGTCCTGGACAATCTGAAAATCTCTTAATCACCTCTCAGATGAGCAGAGCCCATCACTCACCCCTGCCAACACAGACATCTCCACAGGGACTCACGTAGAGAGGCCTTCCCCAGGCAGGTCAAACCAAGCCTAGAGGCAAGAAACCTGGCATGGAGTCAAGGCTAAGAGTTCCCACTGAACTGAGCACAGTTTCAGAACTGTCTTTGCTGTGTCTTTGCTCTGGCATGAGGGCCTAGCTCTGGTTGTGGGCTCAAGTCAGTGAGGCAGGTACACTAGGACTTCAACTTTGGAGGGAAGTATGTCAAGAGCCATGGGTCCTCCCGCAGCTGAAGGGGCTCTTACTCCACATTTACCCACATGGGGCAGCTGCCCCTGAATGGACACTTGTTTCCCTCTATTGCTCTACCTGCTCATCCCCTTGGATCAGGAAATAAGAGCCTGAACTGAGGATAGGCAGGGCTACCTGAAGGAGGGGGATTGGAGAACCCCACCCTGTGCAAGAAAAGTGGAGAGAGGGAGCCCACTGGGTTTCAGATGCTACAAAGAAAGGGAGTTAGGAACTGGCTGAAAAAACCCGGGAAGATTTTCTCTGCTTCCCTGTTTCATTTTGTCTCCAGCCCTGCCTTATGAGGGCCGCTTCAGGCTGGCAGTGAAACTCCTGAAAGAAAAAGGCTCTGTGCTTGTTGTCTGGGTAGTGAGGACAGGAAAGCTGGTTGAAATTTTTTCCCATCCCCCCAAGAAACCCTTCAGGGAGACTGGAGGATTAAGTTGGGGGGTGTGGCAGATTTAAAAAGGAAAGACAGACTCAACCTTCAGAATGGAAAGGAAGAGGAGATGCCCTCCTCATGTTTGGGACATGTCAACCACCTCCAATGATTTTTTTTAGATGAAATAGCCCTAAGAGCCAAGGCTGGGCTTTGTTAAGAGGTGGCCACTGGTTGGGCTGCAGGAGGTCACCTGACCTCAGGAAAGCCCACCCTTAGTTATAGGCCCCTAGCTGTTTCATTTGCCACTCTAGTGAATATTTAGATCAATGTGGAGAGGACCCAGCAGCCAGTAGTAACAGAACATACAAGTGGAGAGAAGCAAGACAACCAAACAGGGCAGATTTATTGTAGAGCTGATGAAGCTGAAGCTTTGGGCCCTTCACTTGCACAGACCACTTTAGGCCTCAGCAATTCAAACTTTTGTGTTCTTTTCCTTAAATTATACAAATAGACCTCAGGTCCTGTAAAACCTGGATTCACCCTGGACACAGACTATGGGAACCCAGGGGAGAAACAAAGAAGCCCATTCCTCAGGTTGCATCCATTCCCGAACCACTTTCTAGTTCTCGGCCCTTGTGCTATCACAATAAAGAGTAGCTCTGCCAGGATCATCTCAGGGAGTCTCAGCTCCTGTGACCAAAGAGCCCGACCTGGCACCAGGGTTTGGTGGTGAGATAAGCCTTTGCTTTCAGTGGGAGGCCCCAGGCTGCTTGTGCCAAGGGTGACACTGACACAGGTCCTGTGTCTGAGAGGCCATTCAGCCAGGGAGCAGGTACCACAGTAACTGAATGCTGGTGTTATCCTAAGGGGGAGCTGCCCACTGGGGCCTGGGGCAGTCACTTCCTTCCAGAGCTGTGCCCCAGCTCTGAGGCCGGGAGTCCCTGTGCAGCCCAGGCTGGTTCAGGTCCAAACTCACCTCGAGCCCAAGGGTTAAAGAGCAGTATGAACTGGCCTAGGTGGAGTTGCTTCTTGCCCAAGACCTGCAACAGGAGTGAGTAATGGCCAATGATGGCATCTGTGGGCGCGGTCACAGAGATGGCCCAGGACTGGTCATTTCTGTCTTCCACTGCCGCATTCCACCACTTCTGGTCCCCCAGACGGGAAATTGGGAATATAGCTTGGGTCTTGTTGGCCTTGGAAGGATGCTCTCCTGCAGTTACACAGAGATGAGTTGGTCATTTGAACCTTTTGGTCACAACTCAGAGTAATAAAGTCAAGTATCACAAAGTTGGAACAGGTGAAAACTGGTTTTCGATGAGAATGGAAGCAGCCCATCTAGTAATGGGAGGCAGTAAAGGGTGCGGGGAGAGCACAAGTTCTCTGTGCTCATCGACTTACATCTAGAAAAAGGTCCATAGGGTATAAAGTGGGCATAGTGGTATGCCTTCTTCGTAGGGCAGATGTGAAGTCTTAATGCGATACTGCATGTAAAGTCCTTGGCCCAATATCTGACATGCAGTACAAATTCAAAAAATAATAGTGATTAAGTGTTACCGTAAGCCTAGATTAGATCCATTCAGGCTTTCTATAAAACTGATATATTTGTAACCGAAAGGATCCACTTAGTGATAATGATGTTCAGCAACTTCTGAATCATAATAAATTATTTTTAAAAAGATTTATTTACCTGTTTTAGAAAGAAAGCAGGGGGAGGGAAAAGGGGGAGAGAGAGTCCTCAAGCAGACTTCCCATTGAGTGCGGGGCCACACAAGGGCCTCAATCCCAGGACCTGAGATCATGACCTGAGCCAAAAGCAAGAGTTGGCCACTTAACCAACTGAGCCACCCAGGCGCCCCAATACACACTATTTTTTAGACATGTTATCTATCTCATCCTCACCACAGCCTTCTCAGGTTGATAGGACTTCTTGAGTCTCAGGTACAGTGGGGGCCATTTGCCCCTTTGTTCCCTGAGGGGGTGCTAGAGGAAGAAGCTCTCCAGTCCTAGGCCTGCCCTACTCACCAGTTTGTGCAATGAGGGCTACCTTCTTCAGGTTGGACGTAAATGCATAGACTGGAGCCTGGAAGTGCAGGATGATGGTGAAGGGCTGTCCTCTCCTCACAATGAGATGCCGGGAGCTGATGGCCTTGGTGTGGTGCTCCTCATTGTTTTTTGCTGCCTGGAAGTCACAGTTCTTGATCCCCAGAGCTGTGGTGGAAAAGGGAAGTCACGGAGACGAGGTAAATGTGACAACTCTAGTAAAAGCAGAGACCCTGGAGTCAGAGTTAAACTGAGGTTCAAATCCTTGGGTCAACTTACATACTAGCTGTGCCATCTAAAGCAAGTAACTTAACCCCATGAACCTCAGTTTCCTCTTCCTTAGAATAATCATCCTTCTCTGCAGAGTTGGAGAAATGAAATGAGTTAATGTATTAATACAGTTAGCACAGTGTCAGACATGTAGGAAGTCCCATTCAATGAGACTTTTACTATATTATTAATAAGAGCAATGCTTGCCCTCATTGTTGACCTTCTTTTCTGGTCCCTATCCAAAACAATGGATAAAACCTGGAATTTTGCTTACCCCTACTTCTGTCTTCTTCAAACACAGTCAGATAATTTTTAAAGCTGGTTTTGAAATCACTGAGCTGATTCTCTTGTTTTATAGACAGGAAGAGTGAGGCCCAGAGAGTTAGAACCAACTCACCTGAGATCATACTTGGTTCTTTCACCTAAAGGCTCACCAAACCCACGGCCTCCTGCAGCCCAGAAGAACTTTCCAAGGAGGGGGCCTGAGAGTATTATGACAGCCTATTAAGCAGTTCTCATTTTATAATAAGTCTTGCAAATATACAAACAGACTTATGCAGAGGCTCCTGAGCTTTCTGTGTCCTCTGGTTCTACCTATTATCTTGCTTGTTGTTGGCCTCTGTCCCTTGAATTTGGATTCCCTGACTCTTACCTCCCCTTCTTTCCAACTTGGCTTTGAGGCTATAATGCCCTCACGCTTTGCCAGGGTTATCTCCTGTGTGTATCACAATCCAGTGAGAATAATCATGTTGTAATGCCATAAATCCATGTTAACTGTCATCATCGTCTTCACAACTATGACCACCGATTTACCACCAACAACCAACCGTATTGCCACACCTAGCCATACCGCTGCTACCATCACCACAGCACCCACTACCACTCCCAGCACAGCCCCACCCACCATCACGTCCACCACCAGCAGCACCTACCACCACCTCCACCAGTCACACCACCATAACCTCCACCACCATCCTACTTCTCTTAATGAAAACACGTTATGATGGAGGAGCTACTGAGAGTTAAGTAAGCCCCATGGAGAAGTGGCTTGGCTCACCCTGTCCCATGGCTATAGGCTGCTCTTCTCCACTCGACCACAGAAAATGCCTGTCTTGAACTGTTGCTCCGTGCTTCTGCCTTTCTGAATCTGTCCCGAGAGAAAATGATGGAGGTACTCTCATTGGCTTAAGAATCTATAACAGTGGAGTGTCCTCCCACTCCTCCTGTGAGCTCCCACACATGTTTCTTTTTTTTCTTTCTCTCTCCCCACCGGTATCTCTTGGGCCAGCTGCTGGGAGTTGCCCTTTTTCTTTTTATCTCTTATGCCGGGCTGGAGTGAAAGGTGGAATGGGGGAAGATCTGCCAGCTAGAAGCTGAGAGGACACTTTTAAGCCTGTCACTTCAGTGGTCTCAAGAGACCCTCAGAGATGTTACCTGGACAATGCTGGAAAACTCTGGAAGAAATGACTCCATAAATAGGCCCACATCCAACTCCAAATCTCAGGCCCTAAACATATCATGGGCTTTAAGTTGCTACTTGTTTGTGGCTATTTTGGTAATAGAGAGACCTGTGTGTCTGGGATTCATCTGTGTGAAGCAGATAAAGAGGTAGAATTTGTTGGTGAAAAATAAATATCCTAAAAGTAGAAGTCAGAGCCCCTGCTCTTCTAAGCCCACTGGGTCTGGGACAGTCTTCCAGGGAAGGTTGGGAACTATCTTGGGACTGAGGGCCTGTGTCTTTTCTATTTCAACTTATCTAGTCATGGAGGAGACAAGAAACAGGAAAGGACCTCCTCTTTGGCCCTCTTTGGTTTTCGGAAGCCCAGCTTTTGCTAGAGGCCTCTAAGACGGTGCAACCCGGAACACTCTCAGGGACAGCCGTGCTGGCCTGCATGCATATGGGATACCTGTAGAAAGATATAAAAGACACTACAAAGAACTCTGGGTGCCTGTGGGGAGGAGAGCTGGAGAATGGGGTAGGAAGATGATTTTTCTCCTGTTTATACTTTTATACTTTTAAAACTTTGAACCATTGCCCATTTGAAGAATCTTATTATGTTAAAAAGAAGAAGAAGAAGAAGAAATGAAGCTGCTGCTTTTTTACTCCCCCTGAAAATGATTCTTTATGAGAAACGAAGAGGTAAATTTTTCATTACTTGAAGATAATGTGATTTTTACCTAGAAACCATAAATCAACTAAAAAAAAAGGATTATAAAAGATCACTTAGAATGCTATTCTTAAGTTTAGTGCATTCCCAATAACAATTCTAACAAGCTTTTTCTCTGAAACTAGAAAAGCTGATTCTATGGTTCAAAAGAAAATTTCTAAAAGATATAAGACATAATCTAAAAAGATCTAAGAAGATATAAAGATGTTTTAGATGAAAACATCTAAGATGTGTTTTACTACCTAGTGGGCCTTGTCATGCTACATTTCTGACTTCTTATGTAGTATAACCAGCTTTCTAGATATTAAACCATAGTATGATATCACTACATTTGAAAAAATATATTGACCAAAATAAACACATTAAATATGGGCTAAACGTGGCACTTTGAATCAATGGGGAAGATAAGGATTTAGTAGTAGATGGTTTGGGGACAACAAGCTTGCAGAGTAAAATTGGTTTCCTATCTTTCACCATACACCAAAATGAATTCCAGATGGATCAAAACTCTAAATGTAAAAAATTAAATCCTAAAAATACTAGAAGAAAAAATAATAGACTTACTGTTAAGTCAGCGTGGAGAAGGCCTTTTAAAATATAACACAAACCTCAGAAGCCATAAAGAAAAAAATAGATAATTTTTATTCCTTTAAATTTTTTTACTTGGAAAACTCCATAAAGTTAGAAGATATACAACAAATTTGGAGAAATGTTTGGAACTTGTAACACAATTTTTACTTTCCTTAATGTACACGGTATCTGCAAATCAATAAGTAAAGAACAACAAATCAATAGGGAAAAGGGTGAAGGATACGACAGAAAAGAAAATTCAAGTGTCTCTTAAATACATGAAAACATGTCCAGCCTCATTTAATAGAAATGCAAAATTAAACTACCCTGGGATATTATTTCTTACACCTATCAGACTGGCAAAGATAGAGTAGTTTGTCAACTTTCTGAGTTAGTGATGGCTAGGGAGTTACTCTCTAAAAGTACTGGTAGGAATGTAAGTTGGCATAGCTTTCTTTCCTTTTTTTTTTTTTTTTAAGATTTTATTTATTTATTTGAGAGAGAGAGAGAGAATGAGTGGGTGGAGGGGCAGAGAGAGAGGGAGAAACAGACACCCTGCCGAGCAGGGATTCTCAGGACCCTGAAATCATGACCTGACACAAAGGTAGACACTTAACCAACTGAGCCACCCAGGTGTCCCTAAGTTGGTATAGCTTTCTAAGGAATATTAAGTAATATTTACCCAAAACTTAAATCCCTCTGCTTTTGGCTTAGCCATTTCACTTCTAGATATTCTAATGCAAATAATCAAACATGTAAAATGAAATTTATACAAGTATATCCATTGTACTGGTAGTTAAAATAGCAAAATACCAGAAACTACATAAACATTCATAAATAAGGTACTAGGTAGACCTATTACAGGATGTGTGTTCAATAGAAAACTCTGCTAATGTGAAAAAGGATGAAGTAGCTCTGCGTTAGCTGATAGGGAACAATCTCCAAACTACATCGTTAAATGGAATAAGCAAGGGGCGCCTGGGTGGCTCAGTGGATTAAAGCCTCTGCCTTCGGCTCAGGTCATGGTCCCGGGGTCCTGGGATCGAGCCTGCTTCCCCCTCTCTCTCTGCCTGCCTCTCTGCCTACTTGTGATCTCTGTCTGTCAAATAAATAAATAAAATTAAAAAAAAAATCTCTTAAGGATTTCTGCTTCTAGATAGAGCAGACTAGCTTGATCCTATCACCCTTGTTGACAGTAACCAGAAGAGCTGAATAAAATATTTCAAAGCTCTGCCTGAAAGCATCAGGGCAGCACGGATTTGAGGGATCAAGATCTCAGGGAGAAGAGAAGCAGAGCAAGGTGGGCCTAACAGCGTGTCACTTTTCCCTTTAGGACATTTGCTGATTCACAATTGGCAGATGACAGCCTGAGAATCTGAGCAGATCTGACAATCTCACATTACTGGAGAATAAAAATTGGAGTTCCACAGCCATGAGGAATGAAGGGCCCCAATAAACACTAAAGCCTCTTTTCAGTTGGGATCACTGGAGGACTGTTCCCCAAGAGTAAAGGTAATAGGAAATAGACCAACACTTAAGAAGACTGAAACCCGGTCTTACTTGTTTTTAGGCACTCAATCAATGGAGATTTTTATTCCTGTTGACATTATTATGGATGCTATTGTTATCATTATTATTTATCTAATAAGGTTATAAATGTTGGAACAGCATAGAAAAAATTCTGTGGTAGAAAACACATATCATGAAACTTACCATCTTAACCATTTTTTTTTAAAGAGAGAAGGAGAGAAAACATGTGCTCAAACAGATCATGGGTATGGGGCAGAGGGAGAGGGAGAGAGAAAATCTTAAGCACATTTCACACCCAATGTGGAGCCCAAAGTAGGGCTCAATCTCACAACCCTGAGATTATGGCCTGAGCTGAAATCAAGAATTGGACACTTAACTGACTGAGCCACCCAGGCACCCCTATCATCTTAACCATTTTTAAGTGTACAATTCAGTAGTGTTAACTATGTTTACATTGTTGTGAAAGATATCTCGATCGAGAATCTTTTCATCTTGCAGAACTGAAACTCTGTACTAATTCAGCTTCAACCCCCTCACCCTGCTCCCTTGTCTCAGGCTTTGGTAACCATCATTCTACTTTCTATATCATTAATTTGACTAATTTAGATACTTCATAGAAGTGGAATCATACAGTATTTGTCCCTCTATGGCTGGCTTATTTCATGTAGCATCATGTCCTCAAGGTTCATCCCTGTTGTAGCATGTGGCAGGATTCTCTTCCTTTTAAGGCTACATTGTATTCCATTGTATGTATATACTGAATTTTGATTATCCATTCTTTCAACGATGGACTTTCGGGTTGTTTCTATCTCCTGTCTATTGTGAATAGTGCTATGGACATGGTGGGCAAATATGTCTTTGAAATGCTACTTTCAGTTCTTTTGGATCTATACCCAGAAGTGGAATTGCTGGGTCATATGGTAGTTGTATTTTAAACTTTTTGAGGTACTGCCATACTGTTTTCCAAAGTGGTTGCACCATTTTACAAGCCTACGAACAACACACAAGAGTTCTAACTTCTCCACATTCCCACCAATACTTGTTATTTTCTGTTTTTGTTTTTGTTTTTGTATTTGTTTTTTTTTAGATAGCCATCCTCATGGGTGTAAGGTAATATCTCAGCATAGGACTTTTTTTGAAGTATAGTTGACACACAGTGTTACATTAGTTCAGTACAGTATAGGGATTGGACAAGTCTTTTTTTTTTTTAATTTCTTTTCAGTGTAACAGAATTCATTGTTTATGCACCACACCCAGTGCTCCATGCAATACATGCCCTCTGTAATACCCACCACCTGGTTCCCCCAACCTCCCACCCCCCGCCCCTTCAAAACCATCAGATTGTTTTTCAGAGTCCATAGTCTCTCATGGTTCATCTCCCCTTCCAATTTCCCTCAACTCCCTTCTCCTCTCCATCTCCCTATGTCCTCCATGTTATTTGTTATGCTCCACAAATAAGTGAAACCATATGATAATTGACAATCTCTGCTTGACTTATGGACAAGTCTTTTTTATTTTTAAGATTTCATTTATTTATTTGACAGAGAGAAAGAGAGAGAGAGCACAAGCAGGGGGAGGCAGAGGGAGAGGGAGAAGCAGGCTCCTTGCTGAGCAGGGAGCCAGATGGTAGGACTCAATCCCAGGACCCTGGCATCATGATCTGAGCTGAAGGCAGATGCTTAACCTACTGAACCATCCAGGTGCCTGGGATTGGACAAGTCTTTACATTATGCTATGATCACCACAAGTGTAGCTACCTTCCATCACCATATAATGCTGTTACAGTACCATTGACTGTATTCCCTATGCTGTACCTTTTATTCCCATGACTTATTCATTCCATAACTGAAAGTCTGTATTTCCCACTCCCCTTCACCCATTTTACCCATTTCTCCACTCTCTTACCCTCTGCC